ATATAAAGTGACATAGCCCAATAATCAGTAGACGGAAATGAAAATGGGCCTGACGTATTGAAGAACTGACTAGCGATGGGGAAGAAAGATTTCAGAATAGCATCCTATGCATACAATAAAACTAGTTGCAGCCGCACTGTTGACTAGACTATAAATAGTTGCGTGGCTGAATCGACGTCATACAAAAATGTCGAATTGTCCAGTTTTTTGCCACAAAAAGATATCTTTCACGTCAAATTTACCTTTTAAAAATTAAAGTTAAAGTAACATGCTATATACGTCCCACCGCTGGGCACATACCTCTCATTTCTGAGAAGGTTTAAGGGCAAAGGAACGTCCGCCACGCTGCCTTATCTCTCAGACATGCAGGTTTCCTCACGATGTTTTCCTTCTCCGCCGAGCGCGTGGTAAGTCAGCACTTAAAATTGCAATTAACAATTTTATACTTGCCTGCGGGGTTAGAGCCCGGGTTGCTCGTCTACTGTGAAGTTTACAGCATGCGCTTTGCCACTGAGCTACCACAGCTACATGCGTTACCTTTTTTATAAAAATATCCGCTTATATAACTTTTTTTTTTAATTTTCAAGTAAATATAGTAAGTGCACAAATAATCTTATTACTTCGAAAAGCTTATCGATCGATTTTATTTTGTTGCTGAGTCTTAATGAATTGCAGCTTCCGTTACTGACCAGCAACAAAATATCTGCTATTCTCTTTTTTCTAAAATTTTCAAGTAAATGTAGCATATACACACACAATTGCTAAATAATTACTTGGTTCAGCTCATAGATCGGTTTTATTTTGTTTCTATCTTTTTACGTCTCTGTTTCGTTACTGACCAGCAACAAAATATCTGCCGTCTTTTTTTAAAATAATTTCCTGTAAATGTAGCATGTCAACAAATTATTTTTATTAATTTACTTGGTGCAGCTTATCGATCGATTTTATTATGTTGCTGGCTTATTACGATTTGCTGCTTCTGTTAATGACCAGCGACAAAATATTTATTGTATTTAAAAAAAATCTGTGTATATAGTATGTATACAAATAATTTCTAACTAATTATTTACTTCGTGCAGCTCATCGATCGATTTTATTTTGTTGCTGATTTTTTCTGGCTTGCCGCTACCGTTACTGACAAGCAACAAAGTATCTACCGTCTTTATACAAAAAACTCCTGTGAATATAGTATCTTTACAAATAATTACTAACTAATTACTTGGTGAAGGTCATCGATTAATTTGATTTTATTCCTGGCTAGTTATGACTTGCTGCTTCCATAACTGAACAGCAACAAAATATCTTCTTTTTTTCTAAAATTCTCAAGTAAATACAGCATTTACATAAATAATTACTATAGTTCATAAAAGATAGCTTGATCTCTGCGACAGCTGTCAGTAAAAATCACGCCTATGAAGTCCTGAATTTCACTAATGAAATGCACTAATTAGGTCGGCATTCCCATAAAGTATGACATTGACAGGTACTGTCTGTACTACTAAGAAATTCAGGACTTCATAGGCGTAATTTTACTGACAGCTGTCGCAGAGATCAAGCTATCTTTTATGAACCATAACTAGTTATTTGGTGCAGTGCACAGATTGATTTTATTTTCTTGCTAGCTCTTTATGACTCCCTGCTTCTATTATTGAACAGGAATAAAATATCTGCTGTCTTTTTTTAAACTTCCTGTTTAAGCAGCATGTACACTTATAATTTGTAACTTATTAGCTTATTACTTGATGCAGCTAATCGACCGATTTTATGTTATTGTAGGTTCTCTAGGAGTTATTGACCTGTTTATTGATAAGCAGCAAAGTTCCCATTAGTTTGAACTTCAGAACCATTGTGTAAACATAACTTTCTAGTAATTATTAATCTTTAAATAAAATGCAAAAAATTTTATGGTATTTTGCATTTCATTTCAGTAATTAATTAGCAACAAATCATCCCATTTATTCCGCTACGGCGAGGCTGATTAAAAGTTTTTACTGCTATCTTAATGTAAAGATAGTAGTAAATCCATTTTCTCAAAACCGGTTGGAGTAACAAAATCGCGATTTTGGCAACAAATTAACTACAAATTCCTGGATACAATTTTAAGATTTATGCTGACTTTTCACGGCTCTCTTTATAGAGCTTATTTCTGGGGGAGAGGGAAATATTAGAAGAATATAATACTAATATCTTTTATTAGAAAAAAACTTGTTTATTAAGGTTTTTGAAAAACTCTATAACTTGTTTCGTCACCAGTTGAACATTGTTTATTGTAGACCGCCCTTTTCTTATACTGAGCCCCAGTCGGGAACGGTAAGCGAAATATATCAACATAGGTGCAGTCTATAGCCCCAAGAATATCTGGTATACCATACTCTGCTAGGAATCCTCTAGCTACATATTGTCTTGCTTGTTATACACCCGGAAATGATATCCACTTTGGTATTAGTCAAAAATAAAATGCAAGAAGAAGCACTGAAACTTGTTGTACTTACCTATACAAGAGGTAAATTAACTTTTGATTCCCCATAAAATCCCATGCAGTCGCAAGCGTCTGGCAAATCCCGAGCGGTCGCATGCGACCACACCCACCCACAGCACTTTAAACCATTAAAACTTATATTTATAGACTACTTTTCTGTAAAGAAGTTTAGCATTAAAAATCTCTACAAAATTCTCTATTCTGTGGTCTAAACAAGGTTTTACTTTATTACAAAAAGATTTTATTGTATTTTGATAACAAAAATAAATAAATACCAAGAGGATGTTGGAAGCGTGAAAATCACAATTATTTCTATATATTACTCGAAATTATTTACGTAAAAAGATAAATTATATTCACACAAAAACTTTCATTACAATTTTATAATAAAACACTAATAGAACACTAAAAAATCCAAAAATCAACACAATAATATTCACACGAAAATAGCGTACGAAATGAACGTAGATTATAAATAAATATCCATAGCGTAACTATTTTTATTTGCATTAGAACATAGAAAATTTCATATTGATTCTATAATGTCAAACTTCTTCATAGAGAAGTAGTCTCTAAACATAAGTATATACGGGTTAAAGTGATGTGGGTGGGTGCGGTCACATTTGACCTCTTGAATTTTGACGGAATATCGAAGCGGTCAAATTTGGACGCTTGCCGTTTGAGAGGTTAAAATATATTGTCGTTCACATTCTAACGATAGCCCCAATAGCTTGGGTGAAGTATTTGCTGATTACTTTTTGTTTCAAAAACAGCCATTCCAAGATCTTAACTTGTACCTGTCTGGTACCACGGCTCCTATCGGTCTTTTGGCAGGTGGTAATCATCTGCCAAAAGACCGATAGGAGCCATGGTAATTTAGATGGTTATCGCTGGCTGTAAATTTCACAGTACGCGAGCAAACCGGGCTCATTCACCGCAGATACCAATGAAATGTTGATTGCAATTTTAAGTGCTGATTTATCAGTTACCATGTGCTTGGCGATGAAGAAAAACATCGTTAGGAAACCTGCATGTCTGAGAAACAAGAAAAAAAATATTTCGAAGATATGTGAAATTCGCCAACGCTCATTGGGGCAGCGCGGCAGACAACTTTTTTGCCCTAAAACCCTGAGCGGGAGGTCGGTGCCCAGAAGTGGGACGTATATAGGCTGTAACTTTAAGAGAATGATAAATATAAAGTCAAGAAAAATATTAAGATAAGTTAGCCACATGCATTGATTGCAAATAGATGACGTTTTTGCATAAAGATAATAGATGCTTACTTTAATATGCTGGTAGTCCATCCACTGAATTGATAGGCTTTAAAGCTTCATGGAGTACACAAATACAAAACACAATCTTTGAGTATCCGAAACCAGCGTAGAAATTTTTTGTCGGGCAATTCCAATGGATTAAGTACTATGATCACGTATCGATCTCCGATGTAATTTTCTTTTCCGTTTTTCAATTTCTGATACGAAAATGTAGTTACATTAGGCTTGAGACATATTTTTGTATTAAAGTGGTTTAAAAATAAACGCACGTCAAACGAACTATGATAAAATTGTCCCTTTCAAATGTCAAATAAGAATTATGTTTTCTCTTTCATTTGGCACCATGACGGGGGACAGGGGAACTCAACAGGACGGGGGATACTTCTCATTTCCCCTGCTGCCGTGCTCTGATGATGTAAGGACAAGATAATTTTATCTCTATCTTAAGGTAATATAGTTGAGGAATTAATTTTTAGTCTCCTGCCCGTGGACACAAAATAAGAAGACAAAAATTGTTCAAGCAACAGTATTTTTCTGATAACAACTTAAAATTATATAAAACTGCGGTTGCTAACCCGTCAGTCGTAGAAACTATGACAAAATCCTCTCTATGAGGCAATTGATGGGGGAGGCCCATGTTCAGCAGTAGATTTTTATGGGCTGTAATGTAATAATTAAAAATAAAAACAGAATATGATATTGAATGAGGATAATAATGAGCACACAGCCCACCTTGTGGTAAGTAGATGTTGTGGCCCATAGACATCTTCATTTATCCTCAACTAAGAATCATATTATTTCAAATGCATTGTCGCTCCTGAGGACGAAGATGGAATACCTGGTCTCGAGCAAAAAGTGTATCTGGTTCTCTACATTCACCATACGAAACAAAACAGCATTGATCTGCTATTTTACGCTGGTATTCTGTGAGACCGTGGTCCTTCCACGGTTGAGCGAACCATTGTTAATACAACTTTAATTACATGCTCCAAAGTATTAAAACGTAATTTAACTAATTTTCATTTATCAGAGATCACATCACTGGAGATGAAGTTCGTTGCAGCTGCTGTGTTATCTTACAACTTCAATATTTGATTTTACAATGTTTACTTGTATTAATTCCATACAATTAAACATTATGAAATTAAATATTGCATTAAGATAGTATTTTAACGGTTTCAGAGTCAGTCATGAATATGTAATATAGTGGTTAATACGTACGTTAAATTTGAAGAGAAGATAATAAGATGGGGAAAATACATCAGATACATACGTCGATTGCATGTGAGTTGATTTTTTGAATATTTATATTTCTTTATTTTTTATATATCTGCAGTAAAAGCAGCGTAACCTAAAAATAAACAAACCAGTAAAGTGAAGTGGCAATAGGCCGTCAGTTATCTTGAAGAACTGAAAACCGATGAGGAAGAAAAATTAATGTGTGGTGTAGTGTCTATCTAGATATACGTATGTTTGTTTATAATCTATACATAAATTTGACAACGGCGTGATTAAACGTGTCTTAAGTCAACACTCGAGCGTTTTATTTGACTGCGTCTTTATACGGCGACCCTGCCAGGTGGTACACTGCTAATTTTGCATCGCCGAGGCTGCATAATTTAACAAAAATTGATTAAATAAATTAATTAAAAAGTGTAAATATATCATATTACAAAAATGGATTGGACTTTAACCCGAATATGAAAAAAAAATCACTGACAACTTACAACCAACGAAACAAGAGTCCATAGTATTGCATATTTGTAAAGAAGATGATGTATATGCCAATAAACATTAAATGTTTAAGATTTTTTAAAAGAAAAAAAGCTACGAGGATTTGAAGATTAAAAGTATTCCGTGAAACATAAGTCAGAGGAAAAAATTAATGACCATGATTTTACGAAAACAGAAGAAATTGCAGCCTAGAGTGCCTTAGCCGAATACATTAAACCAAAAAGGAATAAAGAAGAAAATAAGAGGTAACATCACACCTGTGTGATTTGAATTCCATATAAAATTTTACTTATTTGAGATTTTTTAAATTGTTTTTAATATTATATTTTTTTAATTATGTATGGAATATTCCACAATTATTATATGATTAAGTTGTGTTTAATCAGATAATTTACGATTCAATCGATTTTAATATTTTTATTGCTAAAAAAAGATTTTATATTAAGATAATTCAGTTAGTATATTATATACTATATATTATATAATTTATTATTTCATTACTGCGTCCTGCAAAACTTAATAATAATTATTATTATTATTATTATTAATGTTAGTATATGAATATATATTTATTCAGCCCAACCAGATGAGAATACACTATTAATACCCCATAATAATAATGGGAGGTACTACAGGGCTCTACATGAGTCCTTCGTAGATACAGTCGCCTCCCTCAACTGGCTACGTTTCGGTGACTTCGGGGAAACCGAGGGTTTTTCTGTGCAATACAGGATCAGGTTATTAAGACCAACAACTATCGGACATACATTCTATAGGATGGCATTGTCGAAGTCTGTCGAGCTTGTCGCCATACCGGTGAGTTACTTAGGCAAGTCATTTCCAGTTGTTCGGCGCTTTCTAACTAGAGTATTTGCACAGACACAACCTAGTAGCCATGATTATACATCAGGAGCTCGCTTTGAAATACGGTCTCGTGGATCGAAAACTGCCTTATATATATATATATATATTATAAGTACTTGCCGGAAGCCGTGGTCGAAAATGACCGCACCAGGCTCTACTGGGGCCGGACCATCATCACAGACAGGATTATTCAAATAAGCCTGATATTGTGCGTTATGGACCGAGCACTGTCAAGGATATTTTTGGTCGGCATCACCATTCCATTTGACGAGAACCTAGTGAAAGCCGAATCTGATAAGAAAAAAAATATCTGGACCTGGCTCACGAGGTAACCGACATGTGGGGTGGTCTGCCGACCGAAATTATTCCTGTAGTCGTCTCTGCGAATGGGTTAATCCCGGTCAGCCTCTTGGGTCATCTGAGGCAACTGGGACTCCGTGACGAAACGCTCCGGGCTTAAAAAGCAGAAGGCGGTGCTCCCCGATACCGCTCGTATCGTCCGCCAGTTTCCTTCCCTTTCCCCTAACCCTCGGCCATTTTGTCTCTCTTGCCGAGGGCTTCCATCTAGTTAGGCTTTTATTTATTTATGTATTTTTGTATTTATTTTATTTTATTGATATTTATGTGTATTTATCATGCCATCAAAAACATAACTTGTAAAAAAAAACAATTCTCGCAACTCAGTCCTTCTACCGTAAAAAGTTGTAAGATCCATGTTATACCAAGTCGGTTAATTTATTCAGTTTCTATTCAAGGATCCTTCTGTTTTAAGTTACTACGTAATTAGCTAACCTAACAACATTTTATAGTGACCATATCAATGTTAAAAATCTTATATGTTTTAAATATATAGATTGACTTGGTCGTCGCAAGAAAACACAACGTATCTCACAAGTAATATACATATATTAGATTGCTTAATGTGATTGCCAAGTCAATCTTTTTCTTTTTATTTAAAATATATATGATTTGTAATATTGAGTAAACGAGCATACGGCTCATCTGATGGTAAGTGATTACCGCCGCCCATGAGCAACTGCAATACCAGGGGAATCGCAAATGCGTTACCGGCTCTTTAAAAAGGAGTAGGTTCTTTTCTTGAAGGTCCTTAAGTCGTACGAGTATAGGTACGGAAAAACCTCGGGTGGTAGTCGATTTCACAAGGAAGTTGTGCGAGGAAGAAAACTTCTTTTAAATCGCTTAGTGGTGGGCCGCCAATCATCCAGATGGTATAGATGATATCGTGAGTTTTGTCGCGATATGCGATGGTGGAATTGTGCGGCTGAAATTAGTCTAAACAATTCGTCAGAGCACTCCCCGTGGTAGATGCGATAAAATATGCAAAGAAATGCAACATCTCTTTGCAGTGCCAGTGACTCAAGCCGATTGGAAAGAGCTCGGTCGCCGACGATTCGAACAGCTCTGCATTGCATACAATCAAATGGAAGGAGCTGGCACTGCCGAGCCCCGGCCCAGATATGGGAACAGTATTCCATGTGCGGCCGAACCTGCGCCTTATATAGTTGCAGGCGGTGAGCCGGCATGAAATACTGCCCCGCTCTGCTGAGCACGTCAAGCTTTTAGAGGCCAATTTGGCCTTCTCTTCCAAGTGACCACGAAACTGCACGTCCCTCGATATGTCGACGGCGAGGATTCCGATACTGGCTGAGGATACAAGGGGAGTGCCTTGAAACTGAGGAGATACGCCGAAGGGGTTCTTTTAGCGGTAAACACGCAAACTTGTGTCTTCTGAGGATTAAACTGGACTAGGGTTAGTCGCCCCCAGTCCGAGACTTTGTTCAACAAAGTTTCGACTTCAGACGCAAATTTGTCCCGGTACTCTGCGACGTTTTCCCGAGAAATATTGGCATGGCCGGTGTATAAAGCACCACCAGTGCTGTCATCCACATAGCAATGAATGTTACCGGTTTGCAACATGTCATTTATATGCAGAAGAAACAGCGTTGGCGATAGCACGCAGCCTTGTTGAACACCAGCATTAATAGGCTTGCAAACGGAGTTTGCACCGTCTACAACGACCTTGATGCTCCGATCTGCAAGAAAGCTGGTGATCCAATCGCACAATTTCTCTGGAAACCCATAGGAAGGAGCTTCGAAAGAAGCGCTTTGTGCCAAACCCGATCGAAGGCCTTCGCAATGTCCAAACTAACGGCTAATGCCTCCCCCTTGGACTCTACTGCCTCCGCCCATCTGTGAGTTAGGTAGACCAGAAGATCACCAGCTGACCGACCGCGACAAAAACAGTACAGTCAGTCACTAATCAGCTGGTGATCCTCAAGGTACCGCATGAGCTGTCTGTTAATAATGGATTTCATTATTTTAGAGAACAACGAGGTGATGGCGATAGGCCTATAGTCGAACGAAAGCTTCTTAGTTTGTTTCCAAAAACTCTGAAAATCTTTTTCTTTGTGATGAGTAGCCAGGATATCCATTTTTATTTTGTTCTCACTGTCTTGACAGCACTTAAGTTTTGACTTAAAACACCTCCTAGCTTCTCGCATTCTGTCATATACATAACCCAAACTGGGCTTACCATACAGCAACCAAATTTCGAAACTGCATCGTGCCTCCCAATGGACCTCCCTTACGTACCTATTCCACCCAACAACTAGTTTGTGTTTACTACGCTTTCTTATCTCGTAGCTAGTTTCAGCTGCTTCTCTTAAGATGTAAGCAATGTTTTTATACAACCATTCAATTACAGTCCTATTATCTACATTTTTACACACTATCCGCAAAAAACCTAAATTCTACTGGAAAATCAATATTTCTTAAATTATTATGACATATTTTACTATATACATTAATCTGATCTAGGCCCCTCTCATCTCACTTCACCTTATTACAATATTTTTATTTATATTGCATTTTGAATGGCAGATTATCTATCTTAAAATCTACTTCCAGTGGAAAATGATCTAACCAATAAACTTCAAAGCATACTTTACAATTTAATACACAGTACCTGGTTGACCGAGCTTTGCTCGGTATTTTTCGCTCGATTTTTTTTTTAATTCGTGTGTTTTGAAAATTATATTTAGATACAAATTACATACCGATGAAATATAAATAATATTTTTTGATCCTAGCGACATAACAGAAAAAACGGAACTGGTTATTTGAATAAAAAATCATGAGTGCAATTATTTTAATTAAAATTTTCGTGTTTTTAAAAAATACTAAAAAAAGGGCTCGAAAAAATAAATTTTCTCAAAAAAAGAAAGGAACATGAAAAAAAAAGTTAAAAAAGTCGGTCGGTCGGTCTAGGCTCGAACCGGGGTTTTACGAATCTGTGACCGACCATTATACCAATTAAGCTATTCATAATCACTAACAATGCGTCAAAATTTACCTTCTTATTCTAACGATATTGTAGCAGTTTTTCGTTGCTTAAAAACACAGACAAAAAGACATTTTCTAAAAATAAATCCTAGCTAGATCGAGTTATTATCCCCGAAACTCCCTGGACACTAAATTTTATGAAAATCGTTGGAGCCGTTTCCGAGATCCCGATTATATATATACAAGAATTGAATTGCATTGCAGAACAGTGATCAAGCCAACTTTGGCAGTTCTTTTTAAAATCACTTATATAAGTGTATGTGTCTGATGTCATTTTTAAATGGACCACGTCTGCATAGAGCCACCTCCTGTTCTCAAAGAAA